GGGGGGTCCCAGTATGGACTGGGGTGTCCCAGTATGGAATGGGGGTGTCCCAGTATGGAATGGAGGGGTCCCAGTCTGGAATAGGGGCACCTATTGGGGTCTGGGGGGTGTCCCAGTATGGAACGGGGGGGTCCTAGTATGGACTGGGGTCACCTGTTGGGGTCTGGGGGTGTCCCAGTATGGAATGAGGGGGTCCCAGTATGGAATGGGGGCACTTAATTGGGTCTGGGGGTGTTCCAGTGGGGGAATGGGGGGGTCCCAGTATGGAATGGGGTGTCCCAGTGTGGAATAGGGGCACCTATTGGGGTCTGGGGGCGTCCCAGTATGGAATGGGGGGATCCCAGTATGGAATGGGGGCACCTAATTGGGTCTGGGGGCATCCCAGTATGGAATAGGGGGATCCCAGTGTGGAATGGGGGCACCTATTTGGGTCTGGGGGTGTCCCAGTGTGAATGGGGGGGTCCCAGTACGTAGCTGTCCCTGGGGCGGGCAGTGGGGGCACCGTTGGGGTCCCGTCGCGGCCTTTGGGTGCCCCCCGCCCTGACCCCCCGCCCTGACCCCCCCGCGCCGCCCGCAGTCGGTGCTGACGCTCAGCCTGTCCTACATGGTGGGGATGATCTCCAGCTTCTACGACACCGACGCCGTCATCATGGCCGTCGGCATCACCGTCGTCGTCTGCTTCACCGTCGTCGTCTTCTCGCTGCAGGTGGGCTGGGTGCCGCCGGGGCCCCTTGGGTTTGGGGCTCCCGGGGGGGGCTGGGGGTGCGGGGGGTGCGGGGGGGGGTCCTGTTGGGTGCCCACAGTTCCCGGTTGGTACCAGGGGGCACGGTTGGGTTTTTTGGGTCCCAGTTGGGTGCTGGGCATCGTGGTTGGGTGCTGGGGGTCCCGGTTGGGTGTTGGAGGTCCTGGTTGGGTGTTGGAGGTCCTGGTTAGGTGTCGGGGGTTCTGGTTGGGTGCTGGGGGTCCCGGTTGGGTGTTGGAGATCCCGGTTGAGTGTTGGGGGTTCTGTTGGGTGTTGGAGGTCCTCATTGGGTGCTGGGGGTCCCGGTTGGGTGCTGGTGGTTCCTGGTTGGGTGTTGGAGGTCCTAGATAGGTGTTGGGGGTTCTGGTTGGGTGTTGGAGG